TTATAAGTGTCAGAATCAGGGCTGACCACAAAATGTGCAAGCCAGAGTCCATGCATGTAATCGCTGCATCATCCTGTTTTTTCAGTGTTAGAGTAGCCTTGCCAGGTTTTAATTTTTAAATCTATGAGACTGTTCCCAATATATAGGGTAGGGTCCCTAGGCCTGGCTGGTGATCAGGGCCATCTGTGGGGTGACTGGTGGGTGGGGTGATTGGGGACCCCCGCTGGCACCTTCTTTGGCTGGTGGCCTGGTGCTGCCCGCTGGCCAGCCCCGCCCCCCGATTGCCACCGCCGGTCGCCTCCCTCTCAAGCATCTGCTCCCTGGTGGTCAGTGTGCGTCATAGCGACTGGTCATTCTGATTTGCATATTAGGGTTTTATTTTATAGGATAGCCAAGATATGGAAACAACCTAAGTGTTCATCAGTAGACAATTGGATAAAAAAGATGTGGTACATATATATAATGGAATATTTCTTGGTCATAAAAAAGAATGAAATCTTACTTTTTGAGATAGCATGGATGGACCTAGAGGATATTATGTTAATTTAAATAAGACAGGAAAGACAAATACCATATGATTTCACTTTGTGGAATCTAAAAAATAAACAAAACAGAAATAAATGCATAGATACAGAGAACATTTTGATGGTTGCCAAAGGGGAGGTGGAGTGGGGGATGGGTGAAAAAGGGAAAGGAATTAAGATATACAAATTACCAGTTATAAAAATAGTCACAGGTACATAAAGTCCATCATGGGGAATATAGTCAATAATATTGTAATAACTATGTATGATGTCAGATGGGTACTAGACTTATCGGGGTGATGGCTTTGTAAGTTATATAATGTCTAATCACTGTGTTGTACACCTAAAACTATAGTTGTATGACAACTATAATTGATAAATTATTGGGAAATAAATCAATATTGAGGTCTTGGATCAGAAGGTTAATAGCAGGAGAGGGGAGGGCTAGCACGAGGGAATTAAGCGGTGTCTCTCAGAGAGCACATTCTTTAAAAGTGGTGATTTATCCATAATTTTGAAAGATAATGTGATTTGTGAGTTGTTATCTGACCCAGAGACATTAGAACAAACCGTGTGAAATATGGTTTGAAAGATCTCTGAGACAAATGGTAGTCAAAGGAAAGTGCTTTTTTTTAATGCATCTACAACCCCACCACCTGATAGCATAGCCCAAGCTCTATCCTTTGGCTGTCACAACCTATCCATGACCTGGCTTGAACTATGATGAATTTAAGGATGAAGGGGCATATTCTAGACTGAATGTGGTAACTACTTGTTTGTGGGTAAATCAAAGATGGTTGCCAGGGGTCTAGGTTGGGCAACTGAGCAGATAGATGGTGGTATCATGATGAGATAACCAAGATAGGAGACAGTGTCAGTTGGGGGAAGAAGATCCTGTCACTTTTTGACATGTTCATGAGCTAGAGTTGTCTGTGAAGAGGAGAGCACCAGTAGGCCATTGGATATCGGAGATGATACCTCAGATTTAGAGTGACCCAGCCTTCATTTTACCCTCTGTGTCTCAGTTGCTGCATAGATTATGGTGTTTGTGTCTCTTTTATGAGCTCATAAAATATTAAATTGCAGGGCGAAGACACAGCATATTCCTAATCTGATCTCCCATTGCACGTGCACACATCGCTTATCCTTGTTCTGCCACAGCTTCCCTTCCGTATATAAATTTCACTGAAATCATTTTGTTGGATCTTTTATTTATTACTAGAGGCCCGGTGCACAGATTTGTGCACCGGTGGGGTCCCTTGGCCTGGCCTGCGCCCTCTTGCAATCTGGGATCCCTTGGGGGATGTTGGACTGCCGGTTTTGGCCCGATCCCCACAGGCCAAGCCGAGGGACCCCACTGGTGCACGAATCTTAGATTCATCAGTCTGTTCCGTGTTTCCATGCCTGTGCGTTGAGCGTCTGCCCCCTGGTGGTCAGTGTGCATCATAGCTACCAGTCAAATGGTAGAACGTTTGAAATTTTACAAGTTTACAAAATAAGAAAGGATATGTGTTTTTGGTGTGGGAGGAATTTTTGCAGGTTTTTTTTCTCACAGGAGATTATTTTTTATTGATTTCAGAGAGGAAGGGAGAGGGAGAGAGAGATAGAAACATCAATGATGAGAGAGATTCATTGATCGGCTGCCTCCTGCACACCCCTTACTGGGGATCGAGCCTGCAACCCACGCACGTACCCTTGACTGGAATCAAACCTGGGACCTTTTAGTCCGCAGGCCAGTGCTCTATCCACTGAGCCACACCAGCCAGGGCTGGATCTTTTTCTTAAATAAAATATGTTTTTATTGATTTTTAGGGGCAGGGAAAGGAAAAGAGAGAGAAACATCGATGTGAGATGTTTCATCCTGCAGGCCCCCTACTGGGAACTGAGCACACAACCTGGGCATGTGCCCTGACTGGGAATTGAACCAGCAACCTTTTAGCGCATGGATCGATGCTCAACCAACTGAGCCACGCTGGCCAGGGCTATTGGATCTTTTTTAAACTAATAATTTTAGGACTATTGAAACAGACATTATTTACCTCTAAATGGAGACTGCAGTTGCCTCTGCAAATATGAGGAAGATGCTTGATGGACAGTGTTTCTCATTTCATTACTACACCAATGGAAATCATTGAGTTGATAATGCTATAACATGTTTCTATTTCCATTATTTGTAAGTGTAATAACAGTGTTCATTCATTTTATTTATAGCTCCAAAAGGAATTCTTCATTTGTCTCCTGATGTTTATCAAGAGATGGAAGCCAGCCGCCACAAAGTAATCTCTGGCAATACCCTAGGCTATTTGTCTCCCAAAGATATGAACCAACCCTCCAGCTCTTTCTTCAGTATATCACCCACCTCGAATAGTTCAGCCACAATTGCCAGGGAACTCCTTATGAATGGAACATCTCCTACGGCGGAAGCCATAGGGTTAAAAGGAAGTCCTCCTACTCCCCCTTGTTCTGCAGTACAACCTTCAAAACAGCTGGAATATTTAGCAAGGATTCAAGGCTTCCAGGTATGAATTAAAAGCAAAAACAAAACCAAGAAAACAAAACAACTCATTAACTCCAAATCCTTCATCTCTATCCATCAGAAAGCTCATCTTTTGCCTGCTAGTGTGACCCATATGCCACTTACATTGTAAATTACTAGGCACACAAATGGCAGGGAAAAGAGGGCCATATGCACATGCCTCATTGTCTTTTATTTTCATTCTTCCTAGTGATTCTTTTGCTGCCTGGCTCTCCTCATTTTTCTTCTTCCTCTTCCTTCTTTTTCTTTTTTTTTTTTTAACTCCCCTCGCCCCCAATTCTCTATTTTGCATTCTGGTTGGTCTTGATTGGGTGGGTACATAAGGCTCCACTCTGTCTTCCACAAACAGAATTTCTGCCTTCATATATTTGGCAGGAGTATTGAGCTCTAAGTTCTCCCTCCTTTTACAGTAAGGTTGAGTTTTTCTAATGATGCTTTTATACTCATTGAAGTTTTGAATTCTATTGCCAGTAATAATTCAGGTATATCATTAAGATATAATATTCTACAGGTCTATTATCTAAGGGATTCATTAAACATGGTATTAGAACAATAATGAAATGCTTTCTAGTTGTTTGGGGCATAACACCACCTATTTGTTTTACTGGATCGTGTTTTGAACCAGGTGGGGTGGCACCTGCCTCAGACGGTACCAGCAATTTGGTGTCACTGGGCGGTCTAGTCCACTTAACTGATTGTCTATATGAATTTGGGGATAGAAACATTTTTTCCTATTTATTTTTTTTCCCCCTTTGAAAAAAACACCCAACAATCCTTTATGGATAGAATTTTTGAAAGAATGGTTAATGCTAGGAAGAGGAAATACCTGTGTTCTGATTTCTTAGTTGCCTTGAACATCATGTGTTGACCTGTAACCGCTAACATAACCGCTAATGTGATCGCTGAACTGCAGCGAGCTTGTGCGTGGGAGTCTCGCTCCTGCAGGTTCCCCTGTTTCCACCTCTTTTCCATCTTAGTCTTCTTCCTTATGACCAAAAACTGTAATTTTCTTTAGAAACACTCTAGGAGATCTGTATTATGTAGAATGATCATGTATTTCTACAAATTTTACAAGTTTAGATACAAAATAAGACAGAACATGTGTTTTTGGTGTGGGAGGGATTTTTGCATGTTTTCTTTTTTTCTCACAGGAAATGGATTCCTTCAAATTGATTGCCAGGTAGTCATTAGACTATTAATATAAATTACAGAAAATGTTACCAATTATTGGTTCTTCATCTGAAATTTTAAGCGCTTAAAGTTAAAATTTTAGAACTTGGTTTTGTTTATTATAAGAATGACAATAAATCACTGTTCAAAATAAAAAGACCTTGATTCATACCACATACTGGAAAACAGCGAAGTAATTTTTAGTTCTGTGTATAATCTGCATAGACTGCCGTGAAAAGAAAGTCACTGCTTATTTACAAAGCTAGTCATTTAGAAATGTCTCCGAGTAACGCTGCATTTTTTTTTTTTTTTAGAAATGAAGCAAAAATTGCATTCAAGCTCTGAATTGATTTTTTGCTTAGAGGTGTGGTAGATGTAATTTTGCTGCTTCAATTTTTTATTTGTATTTATTTGTTAATTCTTGGCAATGAAAACAGTAATAATTTGAATATATCTTTACCTTAGTCAGAATGTAGTCTGCTTTCCCCATTATTGGACTGACTGCTTAGACCTTTTATTAAAGCTTACAGCAGAGGTAATATTCATTATTTATGGACAAGCTAAATATTTCCAAATTTGTGTACTATGACTTTAACATACTAATGAGTATAAACAGGCTTCTTTGGTCGAATGAGCTGGGTGTTGATGTGAGATATTGTCTCTCTGGTACATCGCAACCTGCCGCTGAGCAGTGGACAGGATTGTGGGAAATGGCTTCGTGTCCTGAGAGGTGTATCCACATCTTCACGTCACAGTAGAAGGTTCTTTGTGGTTAAGAGTTTTAAAGCCTATTTCTTTATAGGTAACTTTCTCAGGTCTGTTTACCTGGTGGAAAACCACGTAGATTGCTCCTGTTTCTTAAATGTTTTAATTGGGCTGTAGTTTAGAAATTATAGGGCCAGGGTGTTATGAATTACATGCTATTCTGTTATTTTTATTTCTGGAACTTAAAAACAATAAATCCTTTTACTGTGTTTCTAGGTTAGTATTTTTTATTTTGTTGTACGCTGACTAGATAATTATTGCTTATTGAATATTGTATAAACCCTTCCCTTGGCCTTCTTTGCCTATTAAAATTTGATGTGACAGTTAATATTGTATTACAAAGTAAAATTATATTAGTGTACTGAAAACTAAGTTGCTTTAACTTTTAATTTTTTTCATTATCCAGTCATTAATTAAAATTTATAAATTGCTAAAAGTTCATTTGCTCACCAGAATGTAGGTATTAAGCTCACATTCTTTTGCTTAAATCTATTAAGTAATTTAAATTATTATGCAATTAAAGTTATCCTATCTAATAAAAGACAAAAAGGGTAATTGACCCTACCTTCGCTACGCTTCCCATTGGCTAATCAGGGCGATATGCAAATTAACTGCCAACAAAGATGG